AAAAAAGAGGAAGAACCCCAGCGAGATGGATTAACAAAGCAGCAGGATGAATAAGCTCAAGTGTGGCAACAATTGTGAGGTTGGCTGAGGACTAGGCAGTGTTTCATTCTGTTGTGCGTAGTATAGCAATAAGTCGGCACTGACTCTATGGCAGCTAACAACAACAATAACAACAACATGATTTTATAGGAATATATATATATTTTTGCTTATCCTTATATTTTTATCAAAACAAAGTAACAAATACAGTTGCTGGGCCTGTTTATGTACAACTAAACACCCAATGGGATTTGTTTCTTTGGTTTGGAAGTCTGAGGCCATAGCTTGGAGACACATCCCAATTATCTGAGTATTGCTTCTCATTCCTTCTGTTCTATCTCCTATTTTCTTTGAGTAAATGACTGGGTACTTGAAAGCTAGCAAATGGCCTTCTAAGTTAATACAGTTGGTTTTTAACTACCTGAAGCAACAGAGAAAGGAAAAGTCCTGAGTGGAAGAGAAAATAAAAAAATGTGAACTGAAATTCAGATTTCAAGGGTTTTAAGTATTTTTCAACTATATGGTGTGGTGCTGCACTGTAATGACCTGGATCACAAGGTCGGCTTGAATTCAAGCTCACCAGCTGCTCCTGGAAACACTATACAGGGTCGCTATGAGTCTGAACCGACTTGATGACACTGAACAACAATATGCGATGCATTCAGTTAAATATGCAATAATGTATTTTGTTTTTATTGAAAGTACAAGCATTTACCCGTCACGAAATATTACCACATACAAGGGATTTTCCCCTCCTCCCATGTAGTGGCTTTGCAGTCAGTGCTCCCAAGTCCACATTTGTAATGATCTCAGGTTAGGAGGCTTGCATTTGTTAAATCAAAACCTATTCCACATTCACTTGTTCTTCCTTCCTCCACCTTGATGCAAACATAAAAAACTAGTTTTACTCTTGGAGTGGGTTGTGGAAAGAAAGAAGAAAGAGAAGGAGAGAGAGGGAGAGAACGGAGTGAGTGAGGGAGCTGCAGTCAATTATTTTATTCATTTCCAGTCCTTTCCTATCCTCTTGTCAAAGCTGCCAGGCTCCAGCCTTCTCTAGGTTTCGTCCTCGGTCCCGCCCCCTAGCGTCCGAACTGGACAGCTACCGGCTGGCGCCTATCTCTTTAAATGACAGCTGTGGCTTGGGTCCCAGTCCAGGGCTTGACGTCAGTGCTGCCTCCTGGGCTGCTAGGAGTAGTTAGCGCCGGCTTCCGCGCTCAGAGCTCGCCTAGCGCTCACAAGCTGCTGGCGCGGTGAGTTTTCCTTGCTCTGGCCCCTCCTCCCGCTCTCCCAGCGGAGAGCCTAACAGCAGCCCCAGAACCTCTTGCAAGTCTCTCAGACTTCTCCGCTGTCTCCGTAAAGGAGCAGCCGCTGCTCCTCCAGCCTCCTCCGCAGCCGACGCGCCAGCTGAACTGCTCTCCTGCGAGCCATTCCCCCCGATGGAGCCTGGGCGCAGCAGACGCCGTCGCTTCTCTGAGCCCTGAACTGGGCTTTACGGTTGGAAGAACCCAACGCCGGGCTCCGGGGCGCAGGACACCAAGGCGCACCCAGAGGGCCAGAGCCGAGAGGGGTGCGGGGCGCCGGTTCTGAGACCCAGAAAGTGCTGCTCTACCAGGTCACTTGGCCGGTGGCAGAGGGAAAACGATGGCACTGAAGGATGCGGGCAGTGGCGGCAGCACCATTCTACCAATTAGCGAAATGGTCTCCTCGTCCAGCTCTCTAGGCGCGCCGCTAGCCGTCACCCCGGGGCCCGGCGCTCCCTCGCCCTTCCCGGAGGTGGTGGAGTTGAACGTGGGCGGCCAGGTCTATGTGACCAAGCATTCCACGCTGCTCAGCATCCCGGACAGCACTCTGGCCAGCATGTTCTCACCCTCCAGTCCTCGGGGCGGTGCCCGGCGCCGGGGCGAGTTGCCCAGGGACAGCCGGGCGCGCTTCTTCATCGACCGGGATGGCTTCCTCTTCAGATATGTGCTGGATTATCTGCGGGACAAACAGCTTGCACTCCCGGAGCACTTCCCTGAGAAGGAGCGACTCCTGCGCGAGGCCGAGTACTTCCAGCTCAGCGACCTGGTCAAGCTGCTGTCACCCAAGGTCACTAAGCAGAACTCGCTCAATGACGAGGGCTGCCAGAGCGACCTGGAGGACAATGTCTCCCAGGGCAGTAGCGATGCGCTTCTGCTGCGTGGGGCCGCAGCCGCCGCCCCCTCGGGTCCGGGTGCGCCCGGCGGTGGCGCTCTGGACAAGCGCTCCGGCTTCCTCACGTTGGGCTACCGCGGCTCTTATACCACGGTGCGCGATAACCAGGCAGACGCCAAGTTCCGGCGCGTGGCGCGCATCATGGTGTGTGGGCGCATTGCTTTGGCCAAGGAGGTCTTCGGGGACACGCTCAATGAGAGCCGCGATCCAGACCGGCCGCCTGAGAAGTACACGTCCCGCTTCTACCTCAAGTTCACCTACTTGGAACAGGCGTTTGACCGCCTCTCCGAGGCCGGCTTCCACATGGTGGCGTGTAACTCCTCTGGCACTGCCGCTTTTGTCAACCAGTACCGTGACGACAAGATATGGAGCAGCTACACCGAGTACATCTTTTTCCGTAAGTTTTTAGCCTTTGTATGTGTATGTACTTGTAATGCTCTCATCATCCCGTGCTCCTATTGGAGCCAGGGGCGTCTGGCTCGGGAAACTGGCGAACTGATTAGACTCTCCCTGCATTCCTCAGGGTGCAACAAACACTGTTTATTCTTTTGACCCTTTGGGTCGCTCTCGCGACTTCTTGATTGAATTCACTTTCCACGCAGTTCTCTCTCTGAACTTTAAAAAATTTTTCCCTCTTGGTCTGGCCTGCACCTTATATTCTGGGTTTATCTCCAACTAAGGCGAGGAGGACCTTAGTGCTGGGCTGGACGCGCAGGTGCTCCTAGTCTCTCAGCTTCCGCGGATCTTGGCCACCAAGTCTCACCGCGAATCCCCTCGGACTACCTCCCCTTGCTGCCCGCCAGTTGCATGAGCCCCCAGTTACTGGGCAGTGTCAGGAGGGGATAGTGAAAGACTTAACAGCTGTGCCAAGTGAGACCTTCAGGTAACGAAGGTGTGAGACCGGCTGGTGAGAATGGGGTCTCTATTAAACCTTGTTGTTACTAACATAGAGTAAGTTCCTATACACAGAGACCCTTATAAGGTTTCCGAGGAGTGGCTGGTGAGCTTGAGCCGCCAATCTTGCAGTTAGCAGTCCAGTGCTTCTGCTACAGGGCGACGAATATTGGAAACCCCGTAGTTACGAATCTGGCTGCTAACCTCAACGTCAGCAGTTCGAAACTACCAGCTGTTCCGAGGGAGAAAGATGAGACTTTATGCTCCAGTAAAGGTTTGCAACCTAGGAAACCCTGTGCAGATTCACTATGATTCGGAACCGACCCAACGGTACTTAACAACAACAACAACAATTTTCCCCACACCAGTTCCAACACATCTGTTTGCGTTTTGGATAACAGAGGGTAGTAGAAGTGAGTCTGGGTGCTGTCGTTAAGGTTGGACATGTGTGTATGTGCGCGCGTGCGCATGTGTATGGTTGGTTTTCTTTCTGAGCGTCTCAAATGTAAAAGTGGTTGTTGAGCTTAGTTTTCTAGAGAGAGTAGATTAATGCAATGATTTGAAATGAAGGAAGGGAGAGGATTTGGGAAAGCATCGAGGCACAATGCTTTTGTAGAGTGCTTCCGCAAGGGGATGAGTGGAGTTCTAATAATTAAGACTGCCTGGAGGTGGGGCAGCAGTGGAGGATGACACTATTCTCACTGAGGTGTATAAAATGAGAACAATGACGACAGAGCTATTTGGATAGCCAGTTGGGATAGTGGCAAGGACATTGTTTGCCAAACTTGTTTTTTTTTTCTCTTTGACAGATACAAGTTTTTAAAGTTGTTTATAATGTTAGGGAAAGTAGAATTAAAAGCCTTCGATAGAAACAGACGAGTTTTGTTGTGTGTATTCATTTTCCTAATGAAGTCATTAAGATCCTGTGTAATAGTCTGCACTTTGACTGGAAAGGTGGAAGCACCTTTCCTTGACCAGGTGCAAACTTGATTGGATGGTGGCTTTGTGTTTGTGTAATTTGATTACCTTGGTATAAAGTGACCAAATGTAGCACCCAACTTTATCGTGAAATTCCAGTTGTAATAGTGTTGAATTTGGCAAGGAGACCATTTCAAAAGTAAAAGAAAAGACTTGTCCACTGATAAAATCTAATTGTCTTTAGTATATCAAATTATTATGTGTTATATGTTAAATTGACAGCAAAACCACTTAAAAGGAGGTGATATTTTATTGTTCGTGAGAAATTGGTACCCTTTCTATTAAGAAATTAGAAATGTTTAGCATAATTCTTTGCATTATAATTTTTCGTAGTGGAATAATTTGCCAATAGCTTCTTAGATTTTAAACATTAATTTCAACATAAACCTATTTACAGGCATATCAGAAGATGAGGTGTAATTATTATTTGCATTGTTAATTACTAGTTATTTTTATTAGGAAGACTGGAAACTTGGGTGTTCTCTAGTGTTCTCTAGTTTTCCTGTATTTTGGAAGCATGTCACTAATTTGGTTCTTTTATTTTTCACCTAGAAATTTATGGACTTGAAAGTGTTCATTACTTTGATTATAAAGAGAGATACTATACTATAGATTGCCTCTAAATTAGAAGAAAAAAAAATACCTTGAAATATATTGATGTTGAAAGTCTGCCAATTTAATTAATGCAATAATTTAAGAGATATTTGGAATTCAGGATATTTCACTTCTAAAGCTATAAGAAGTGTTAAACAAAATAAAATATTCATATGATGATGAACTACTTTCAGCGTATTCTCTTACCTTATGAACTCTGAAGAGTCATTCATAAAAGTCTCTGAAATCTGAGGAGACAATTTATATTTGATCCTTCTTCATTGATTATCTTAACTTTAGGGAAAATATACAATTCCAGACTACTGTTGTTTTGATGTGATAATGAAGTCATTAATCAACCAAATGTAATTTCTCTTTTTCATTTGTATTGTAAAATTTATATTGATACTAGGATTATGTATTTATTTCAATACTTTGTACATATTACAGCATATCACTTTCACAAATAATTTTGAATGGACTTCATTTTAATTTTTGATGAAAGAAGGTAAAAAGTAACATTTTTGTATCTCTAAAATCTGTTTGATAAAGGCATAAAGGTATAAAAATGTAACCTTGTTTTTGAAATCTCTATTTAAAAGATTATCAGTATTATTAATAATAATTTAAAAAATTATCACATGAACTTCTTTGCTCATTTATGCTTAGGATACAGAAGAGAACTTGAATATCTTTTTTTCCTCCCCCTTAAGTCTAAATTCTTTCAACAAACATTTATTTAGTATATAACTTGTATCAATAAGTACTGGTCACTTTAACACCCTTTTGACATTTAGTCTCAATATGAATATAATAAAAGCTCCACTAAAAATGATAAAATTGTAGCTTATACAATTGTAGGTCAATTTCAACTACATCCCCTAAGAATTTTAGCTATGTAGGTCCAGAGAAAGGCAGCTGGTTCACTAATCCCAGACATTGCTATTTGCCAAATGTATGATATTGGTTAAATTATGTATGGCTTCATGTGTCATTTTCTTATCTGTGTAATGGAGATAATCATAGGACCAATCTTAAATGGTTTAAGAATACATGCAAAACCATTACACTGGTGCCAGAATCATAATAAGAGTTTAACAAAAGTTAGCTGGTAGTTTTATAAACTATCAATGACCAACTTCTTATTCTTGAAAACATTACATAAATTTCTTCTTATAAGTAAGTATGGTGGTGATGGTGGTGTGCTGTGGAGTTGGTTCCAACTCATAGTGACCCTGTATAAGGTTTCCATGTCCATAAATCTTTACAGGGCACAAAACCTCATCTTTCTCCCATGGAACAGTTGGTAGTTTCGAACTTCTAACCTTGAGATTAGTAGCCCAACTCATAACCACTATGCTACCAGAACTCATAGTATGTATAGTTAATTTAATTGCAAAGTTAATTGGAAAATCATTTTGCAATTAAATGATAGCATACTGAACTTTTTAAAATATTGAGGAGCCAAAGTGTCAGCTTGAGGACTAAGGTGTGCCTGGCCCAAGCCATGGTATTTTCAATAACCTCATATGCATGCAAAAGCTGGATAGTGAATAAGGAAGACCGTAGAAGAATTGAGGCTTTTGAGTTATGGTGTTGGAGGAGAATATTGAAGGTCCATGGGCTGCCAAAAGAGCCAACAGATCTGTGTTGGAAGAAGTGCAGTCAGAGTGCTCCTTGGAGGCCAGGATGGCCAAACTTCATCTTTCATATTTCAGACATATTGTCAGGAGGGACCACTCACTGGAGAAGGATGTCATGCTGGGTAAGGTGGAGGGCCAGAAAAAAAGAAGAAGACCCCCAGTGAGATGGATTGGCAAAGTGGCAGCATCCATGGGCCCAAGTGTGGCAACAATTGTGAGGTTGGCCCAGGACCGGGCAGTGTTTCGTCCTGTTATGCATAGGGTCACTATGAGTTGGTACTAACTCGATGACACCTAAAAACATGAATAACTATACTGAACTTTCAGCTGTTTGAAACACTCAATTAAGTAGTTACAACTTGTCTGGAACTTGAATCTATCACATCAAGTTCAAGTTACCTAGTCTTTTTCAGTTATACTTCAGTTGACTTTTCTGGAATGACTGGAACAGATCCTGTTTCTGATTCAGGGCCAGGAAGCATTTTAGCACTTTACACTAAGACTTGAAACTTTGGCATTATTTCCTGACAAATATCAAGCTAGATTCATAGCTCCTTAAGTGCTTGTATTCAAGTCATTGGATTCTAATGTACAAAGTTATTTGCAGGCCATTAAACATTTAACGTCTGCCTCATTTGGCTACATGTACACTTTACTATCTATTCTCAGTTTTACCTCATTATTTATCAAGTCTTTTTAATACACTACAACATGCACCATTACTATTAAATTTTATCTTATTCTCCTAATAAGGAAGATGGATTATCCTTTCTTGGGAAAACAAAGTGATTTATTACATGTTCTATTTTGGGGGGATGTCTGGGAAGTATAATTGTGGATGTTTGTAGCAGTATTTGGGAAGGGACATATATGTTGGCAATATATTGCATGGACAGTAGTTGTATGCTTCAATGTGATGTGGAGACATAGTTGAAACTAGCATTTAAAGTTTTAACTTTAAATTAATTAATTGAAGAAGTAATCCCTTTATTTCTCATAATCAGTGAGTTTATAGAAAAGTTGCTGCTGATAGATAGTACTCCTCTATTTTAAAAGTACATCAAGTTTTGACCTCCTGTATACTGGCTGATTATGATGTGGTGTGAAAGTATATTTCTCTAGATTGCACTTTTTGTATTTTTTTTTATGTTTGATTCATTCTTTTTTCTTGTTATTGTGATGCATAACAGTGTCACATCTAAGAATTAATACTATTACTGATCTGAGCTGTGAATTCTAATTTATCTTCATGTGTTTTTATATCCATTCTTTCAGATTCATTCTGATT